CTCGATCTAGACATAAAATTTAGATATACATTTTTTTAATAAAATGAAACGAGCATTTGGACAATTATGTCCCTATTGGTTAACATCAAATCACCTGTGATGATCATATATTATATCAAAATCAACGATCATATAACCATAATCCAACACGTATATTCTATGGTTATAAACACATCTATAGGCCAAAACAAAAGTTATACAAGACAGGACCTCCAAAATGCGACACAATAGAGTGTAAGCTCAAAACAATAGCCCACAAAATAACCCTACAGGTCGTCATCCATGTACATTGATCTTTGGAATCCCGTAAGAGCTCCACAGCTAGCCGTGCCCTCTACATAGTTCCATTTACAACTACGATGCAAGAACCTAGCATTTGTGGTATAGTGATGTTAGGATATTTTCATACTTTGATAAGAAAGCTCGTTGTTCCTTATATGATGATTATGATCATTGAATATGCGGTTGCAAAATACATTGACATCAACTTCTATTAAGCATGTCATTCATGGGCATTTTCGTTGGCATGCACAACATATGATAATCGTTGAAAACTTTGCATACGAAACACGATTTCAAAGTAAGTTTTCTTTATAAATGTTTTATTGACCACTACTAGGGCACAAAGGCATGTAAGGCATGCTTATGTGATATGTTTGGCATCGCTGATGATACTTCTTGGGTGATTGCAAAGGTAGACAAGGGATGGGCCTTTGGTGATCACGGGAGGGCGGAACACTCGACTATGCCCTTGTTATGATTATTGGCGCTGTCGGGTGGGAGACTTCTTGGTTGATCATAGGGGTAGCCAGGGGATAGGCCTCTAGTTGTCACGAGAGGATGGTCCACTCATCGGTGTCGATTTCATATTGGCCATTTGATTATTGATATTGATATTATGCATAGCTCTATCCAGTGCATAGTAGGTAGGTCAAGGGCCCAATGAAATGAAAGATTTCAAATGAAATAATTTTGAGTCGACTTTGATGAATATTGGAATATGAAGCATCTTTAGCAAGATGTTTAAAGTAAACGACATGGTGTCACATATCCTTGTTACTCATACTCATGACACGCATGATTCTTGCTTACTAAGCATTGGCTTATGTAGTTCTTGCATTGTAGGTGAGCATGGAACTATGTAGAGGGCACGGCTAGCTGTGGAGCTCTTACGGGATTCCAAAGATCAATGTACATGGATGACGACCTGTAGGGTTATTTTGTGGGCTATTGTTTTGAGCTTACACTCTATTGTGTCGTATTTTGGGGGTACTGTCTTGCATAACTTTTGAAATGGCCTATAGATGTGTTTATAACCTTAGAACATACGTGTTGGATTATGGTTATATGATCGTTGATTTTGATATAATATATGATCATCACAGGTGATTTGAAATTAACAAATATGGACATAATTGTGCAATAGCTCGTTTCATTTTATTAAAAAAAAGTATATCTAAATTTTATGTCCAGATCGAGTTACCAATATCATTTCGACATGGGAGTTAGTATGGTTATCTGTATATATTTGGGGTGTGATAGAGAGTGGTATCTAGGCCAACGCTGTCCTTGACCTTGCCTAAACTGTCGTCGAGCCTCTTGAGCATGACTAATTCTTTATTCAGCTTGTTCAGCAACTAATGCTCTGTCTGAAATTTGAGAATATGAAACATCTTGGAATACCTGAAACTTCCTGTTATATATTTGGCCAATATGATTCATGCATCTCATGATATTCACAATGTTACTTGCATTAGTTTTCTTAATTACTTTATCTTAAAATGGTGCATTCGATTATGGATATTTTAAGATTTTAGTCTTCAACTCCTAGACCTAGGTGTTGAATTTTTTACTGAGCTATGATATAAAATGAGGTTAACTAAATGTTGGAGATTGGCTTGATAAGAAATGGAATATCGAAAAGGTCAGAAATCGGTATCGACAAAAGTTCAAGCTTTCTATTCGGTTGATCGAGACCACCTTAAACCCTAGATAGGTAATTGACATATTTGGGACATGATACATAAGGGAACATGATGATGACGCAATAATATATGTCTCATATGACATTATAAATATCGAGGTGCGATTTGATGAAAACGGTCTAGAATGGGGTGTCAATCGGGTAAGTAATTAAATGAACGATTGAGGACTTAGCTCTATAAAATATTTTGGGATCTTAGGGCAAGTGAAATGGATTGTAAACACGTTAACATAATCCCAGGATACTTGATTTATACCTGCAAAGATAGATATAAAATCAGATTTTTTTACTAGTGACCACCTCATGCTTGAACACCTCATGCTTTTAATATTTATCATTTTAACACCCAACCTTAAGGCATCAATCTCGTGTCCTACTCCTTAAGCACTTATTATAGGATGAATATATATCTTATAATCATAAATGGATCCAAATATAATGGTTGAAAATCAAGTATGATATAGTAGGAAAAGACCACCTCATGCTAAACACTTGGCTGCGCCCCGCATTTTCTTAATCCCTAAGGAAGAGTCACGTCTCCAGCATCTTGAAGACTTTATATACACCTCCTAACAACATGTTTAGTCTAACAAATTATCCCCCATTGACCACCGAATGAAAGAGAAAGCAAAAAGGAAAAGAGAGAAGCAGAAACAAGGAGCTGAAATTGAATTTCTGGATAGGTGAGTTTAGCTCACGGTTTTGAAGTTTTTCTATAGTTCTTTTGCTTGTTTTATAATATGTTTAAACTATAAACTTACTTGAGGCTAAGTATAAGGGTTGTTTATGATTTTACGATGGTAAAAGAGAGGGGTAATTGAGTACAAGAACCTGAAAGAAACCAACAGGAATAGAGATGTGTTGATTGATGAATTTAAGTGGTTTAAACTTTGATTTTGGATAATACTTAAGACATAAATTGTATCTATGTTAATGAATGTTTTTACATGATAGTTATAAGGATATAAATAGCTTTCTAATAGCCTGAAATCCGATTGGTAACATGCCAATAAAATAGAAATCGAAAACTGTCGCAATGGAAAACTGTCTGATTTTAGTGTTGTGGATATGGACTATTTTGTGGCTGAGAACACTTTACTTGTCACGACATTAGAGAATTATTACCTTTATATACATGTTATAGAAATGTGGTAAAAGTTTCAGAGTCATTGGATATAGATAATGGGGTGAAAAGGGATTGGAAAAATAATTGGACGGTAAGGGAAATCTGAAAACAGATTCTGTCCAATTTTGTGTTTAATATGATTTCAGCCTTTACATGCACATTAATCATCTCTTGGGCCTAGAAAATAGATTCTAACGGTACTAGGTTGTCAACAAAAATTGGATGATGTTGACATTCATAATTTGACTCGAGTAATAGCGAGATTTATGGGATAAGTTTGTAATGCCATTGGTAACTTGAAATGATGATTCCGTCTAAATTATTTTGGTGAGAATGGATGTATTTTGGGATTTTGTGCGTTAAGGTTACTAAATTAAGGATTCTCTTTAATATTAAATGGTAATAAATGTGATTTTTTGACGTTGAGTGAAAAAGGAAAGTGATATAATCTCCGTAGGAGCTTGTGCACACACAAGGACAAAAAGGTAAGTAAAAATCCATTTGCAACTATGATGCAAGAACCTAGCATTTGTGGTATAGTGATGTTAGGATATTTTCATACTTTGATAAGAAAGCTCGTTGTACCCTATATGATGATTATGATCATTGAGTATGCGGTTGCAAAATACATTGACATCAACTTCCGTTAAGCATGTCATTCATGAGCATTTTCGTTGGCATGCACAACGTATGATCATGGTTGAAAATCTTGCATGGAAAACATGATTTCAAAGTGAGTTTCATTATAAATGTTTCATTGACCACTACTAGGGTACCGAGGCATGTGAGGCATGCTTATGTGATATGTTTGGCATTGCGGGTGTTACTTCCCGGGTGACTGCAAAGGTATACAGAGGATGGGCCTTTGGTGATCACGGGAGGACGGATCACTCGACTGTGCCCTTGTGATATTATGATTATTGGCGCTGCTGGGTGGGAGACTTCTTGGGTGATCATAGGGGTAGTCAGGGCATGGACCTCTAGTGGTCACGAGAGGATGGTCCACTCGCCGGTGTCGATTTCATATTGGCCACTTGATTATTGATATTGATATTATGCAGAGCTCTATCCGGTGCATAGTTGGTGGGTTAAGGGCCCAATGAAATGAAAGATTTCAAATGAAATAATTTCGAGTCGACTTTGATTAATATTGGAATATGATGCATCTTTAGCATGATGTTTAAAGTAAATGACATGGTGTCACATATCCTTGTTACTCATACTCATGACATGCATGATTCTTGCTTACTAAGCATTGGCTTATGTAGTTCTTATATTGTAGGTGAGCATGGAACTATGTAGAGGGCACGGCTAGCTGTGGAGCTCTTACGGGATTCCAAATATCAATGTACATGGATGACGACCTGTAGGGTTATTTATTGGGCTATTGTTTTGAGCTTACACTCTATTGTGTCGTATTTTGGGGGTCCTGTCTTGTATAACTTTTGAAATGGCCTATAGATGTGTTTATAACCTTTGAACATACGTGTTGGGTTATGGTTATATGATCGTTGATTTTGATATAATATATGATCATCACAGGTGATTTGAAGTTAACAAATAGGGACATAATTGTGCAAATGCTCGTTTCATTTTATTAAAAAAAAAGTATATCCAAATTTTATGTCCAGATCGAGTTACCAATATCATTTCGACATAGGAATTAGTATGGTTATCTGTATATATTTGGGGTATGACAGATAGTGGCTTCATGCTACTCACAATGTTACTTGCATTACTTTTCTTAATTACTTTATCTTTCGATTATGGATATTTTAAGATTTTAGTCTTCGACTCCTAGACCTAGGTGTTGAATTTTGTATTGAGCTATGATAGAAAATTAGGTTAACTAAATGTTGGAGATTGGCTTGATAAGAAATGGAATATCGAAAAGGTCGAAAATCGGTATCGACAAAAGTTCAAGCTTTCTATTCGGTTGATCGAGACCGCCTTAAACCCTAGATAGGTAATTGACATATTTTGGACATGATACATAAAGTAACATGATCATGATGTGATAATATATGTCTCATATGACATTATAAATATCGAGGAGCGATTTAATGAAATCAGTCGAGAATGGGGTGTCCATCGGTTAAGTAATTAAATGAACGATTGAGGAATTAGCTCTATAAAATATTTTGGGATCCTAGGGCAATTGAAATGGATTGTAAACACATTAACATAAGCCTAGGACACTTGATTTATACCTGCAAAGATAGATATAAAATCAGATTTTTTTACTAGTGACCACCTCATGATTTTAATATTTATCATTTTAACACCCAACCTTAAGGCATCAATCTCGTGTCCTACTCCTTAAGCACTTATTATAGGATGAATATATATCTTATAATCATAAATGGATCCAAATATAATGGTTGAAAATCAAGTATGGCTACAACAAAGACACATCGTGCTTGGCACCTCATGCTTGGGATAGTTGTCATTTTAACACTCAATCCCTTCATCCTTAAGATATATAGCACGTCTCCTACATCTTTTTATTTAATATAGATAGATATATATATCTTATAAATCAATATAAGTTAAATAGTCCAAGAGAAAAGTCAAATATTGTAGGAAAAGACCACCTCAAGCTAAACACTTGGCTGCACCCCACATTTTCTTAATCCTTAAGGAAGAGTCACGTCTCCAGCATCTTGAAGGCTTTATATGCACCTCCTAACAACATGTTTAGTCTTACAAATTATCCCCAATTGACCACCGATTGAAAGAGAAAACAAAAAGGAAAAGAGAGAAGCAGAAACAAGGAGCTGAAATTGAATTTCTGGATAGGTGAGTTTCGCTCACAGTTTTGAAGTTTTTCTATAGTTCTTTTGCTTGTTTTATAATATGTTTAAACTATAAACTTACTTGAGGCTAAGTATAAGGGTTGTTTATGATTTTATGATGGCAAAAGAGACGGGTAATTGAGTACAAGAACCTGAAAGAAACCAACAGGAATAGAGATGTGTTGATTGATGAATTTGGATGGTTTAAACATTGATTTTGGATAATACTGAAGATATAACTTGTACCTATGTAAATGAATGTTGTTATATGGGATTCAGAAGGATATAAATGGTCTTCTAATAGTCTGGAATCTGTTTGATGACAAACTAATAAAATGGAAACCGAAAGCTGTCACAATGAAAACTGCCTGATTTTGATGTCGTGGAAATGGACTATTTTGATGCTGAGAACACTTGATTTGTCACAACTTTAGAGCATTATTGCCTTCACATATATGTTATAGAAACGTGGTAAAAATTTGGGAGTCATTGGATATGGATAAGGGGGTGAAAACGGATTGGAAAAGTAGTTGGATGGTGATGAAACCTGAAAAACAGGTTCTGTCCATTTATGTGTTTAATATGATTTCAGCCTTTACATGTAAATTAATTATCTCTTGGGCCTAGAAAATAGATTCTAAGGAGTACTGAGTTGTTGACAACAATTGGATGACGTTGATGTTGGTAATTGGACTCGAGGAAAAATGAGACTCATGGGACGAGATTGTAATGCCGTTAGTAACTTGAATAATGAATTTGTTTAAATTATTTTGACGTGAATGGAAGTATTTTGGGATTTTGTGTGTGTTAAGGCTATTAAATGGAGGATTGTCTTTAATATTAAATGGTAATACAGGTGATTTTTCAACGTTGAGTGAAAAAGGAAAGTGATATAATCTTCGTAGGAGCTTGTGCACACACAAGGGCAAAAAGGTAAGTAAAAATCCACTTGCAACTACTATGCAAGAACCTAGCATTTGTGGTATAGTGATGTTAGGATATTTTCATACTTTGATAAGAAAGCTCCTTGTACCCTATATGATGATTATGATCATTGAGTATGCGGTTGCAAAATACATTGACATCAACTTCCATTAAGCATGTCATTCATGAGCATTTTCGTTGGCCTGCACAACATATGATCGTGTTGAAAACTTTGCATACGAAACATGATTTCAAAGTAAGTTTTCTTTATAAATATTTTATTGACCACTACTAGGGCACCGACGTGATACGTTTGGCATCGCGGGTGATACTTCTTAGGTGATTGCAAAGGTAGACAGGGGATGGGCCCTTGGTGATCACGGGAGGGCGGAACACTGGACTATACCCTTGTTATGATTATTGGCACTGTCGGGTGGGAGACTTCTTGGGTGATCATAGGGGTAGTCAGGGGATGGGCCTCTAGCGGTCACGAGAGGATGGTCCACTCGTCGGTGTCGATTTCATATTGCCACTTGATTATTGATATTGATATTGATATTGATATTATGCAGAGCTCTATTCGGTGCATAGTTGGTGGGTCAAGGGCCCAATGAAATGAAAGATTTCAAATGAAATAATTTCGAGTCGACTTTGATTAATATTGGAATATGATGCATCTTTAGCATGATGTTTAAAGTAAATGAAATGGTGTCACATATCCTTGTTACTCATACTCATGACATGCATGATTCTTGCTTACTAAGTATTGGCTTATGTAGTTCTTGCATTGTAGGTGAGCATGGAACTATGTAGAGGGCACGGCTAGTTGTGGAGCTCTTACAAGATTCCAAAGATCAATGTACATGGACGACGACCTGTAGGGTTATTTTGTGGGCTATTATTTTGAGCTTACGCTCTATTGTGCCGTATTTTGGGGGTCCTATCTTGTATAACTTTTGAAATGGCTTATAGATGTGTTTATAACCTTAGAACATACGTGTTGGATTATGGTTATATGATCGTTGATTTTGATATAATATATGATCATCACAGGTGATTTGCAGTTAACAAATACGGACATAATATTAAAAAAATATATATCTAAATTTTATGTCTAGATCGAGTTACCAATATTATTTCGACATTGGAATTAGTATGGTTATCTGTATATATTTGGGGTGTGACAGAGAGTGGTATCAGAGTGAGGTTATAATTCTGTAGACTGTCCATGTACATGATCTCGGAATATGAAAGAGCACAGCTATGCCAGTAAGTTTTATTTGCTGCATTATTTTTGCATATTTCATGAATGATATTGGCTAACCTTTATTTGCAGCCATGGTGAGAACCAAAAATGCTAGTAGTAGTAGAGCTAGACCTCCAGGGCAAGAGGCATCAGTTCAAGATGGCAGTCGGGATGTTGTTATTGATAGGCTTATAGAATTAGTTGAGCGCCAATCTCAACAAATTCAACAATTAATACAACAAAGAGAAAGGGGAAAACAACAAAGGGCGAAATTCTTACAACCACAACAAAGGGATGAACATATTGAGACAGTTGGAGAAAGATTTAGAAAACTAAACCCTCCAATATTTGAGGATGTATTAGATCCAACTACAGCAGAGGATTCGTTGAGAACTTTAGAGAATATGTTCAGGTATACGAGAGTTTCAAAAGTAGAAAAGGTGGTTTGTGCATCACTTATGCTACGAGGTAGTACTGGACATTGGTGGGATACGATGAGTAGCATTGAAGATGTAAATGCCATGACTTGGAAGAGATTTAAAGAGTTATTTTGTAATAAATATTTTACAGCTCCTGTTCAAGCCATGAAGATGAATGAATTTATATAGTTCAGATAAGGAAGGATGACAGTGGGAGAGTATATTCGTAAGTTTGAACAACTATCCAGGTTTGCTACCCACATGGTTAATACTGAGGTACTAAAGGTAGAAAGATTTATTGAGGAGCTAAGACCAGAGCTATATAGAGATGTAAGCATGGCAGGAATCCTAGATGTTTCATATTCTCAAATTGTGAAGAGAGCCTTAGTTGCAGAACAAGCCGAACAAAGGATTAGTCACAAGAGGCTCGTCGACAGTTTAGGCAAGGTCAAGGACAGCATTGTCCTAGAAATGATAAGAAAAGGTCTTTCCAAGGACAGAATCAGAAGCCTAAGTTTCAACCGAGATAAAGACAACAACATTGGGATCAGGGCAAACGTCCAAGGATAGATTAAGGAAAAGCCTCAACAAACACAACCATCTTGTCCCAAATGTGGTGAGCAGCATACTGGAGCATGTCCTATAGAGACTAGAACATGTGTTATGTTTGTGGAAAGATGGGACATCTTGCTAGAGCATGCCCAGGTAATCCAAACCCTATGGAGCAAAAGAAAGTGTCAGCTAGGGTGTTTACTATTACCAGATCAGATGCTAAGACAAATCAATCCGTGGTAACAGGTAAATTCTCTATTTTTGGCATCACAGTACTAGTACTATTTGATTCTGGAGCCACACATTCATTTGTGTCTAATGAGTACGTGAGGAGGTTGTGTAGGACACTTGATATACAAGAGGTTAGTTATAGTGTAACTATTCCATCTGGAGTTGTACAACAAACCAATCTAATTGTAAGAGCATGTGCGATCCTTATAGAAAATTGAGAGTTCTATGCAGATTTAATTGTGTTAGATATGAAAGATTATGATATAATTTTGGGTATGGATTGGTTGTCAAAATATGAAGCTACTATAAATTGTATGAGGAAGTCAGTAACCTTTCAACCTTTGGGGAATGAGCCATTTACATTCATTGGGATCGAAAAAGGTTTTAGAGTTCCAACCATATCGTTATTGAAAGCACAAAGGTTACTAGATAGTGGGTGTGCAGGGTATTTGGTTAGTGTTAATGCTATTGAAGCACAACACAATCCAAATCTTAGTGATGTGCCAGTGGCACAAGAATTTCCAGAGGCATTTCCTGATGATTTACCTGGGGTACCACTAGATCGTGAGATAGAGTTTGTAATTGATTTAATTCCAGGAACATCTCCAATTTCCAAGGCTCCGTATAGAATGGCCCCAACTGAACTGAAAGAGTTGAAGTTACAATTACAAGAGTTGCGAGATAAAGGTCTTGTTAGACCTAACTTTTCACCATAGGGTGCACCATTATTGTTTGTTCATAAAAAGACTGTACTATGAGGCTGTGTATCGATTATCGAGAGTTGAATAAGGTGACAATTAAAAATAAATACCCATTACCGAGANGTTTGTAATTGTATTTATTGATGATATCCTTATTTACTCTCGTACTAAGGAAGAACATGAGAAACACTTGAGAATAGTTCTGCGGGTCTTAAAGGACAAGCAGTTATACTCTAAGTTTAAGAAATGTGAATTTTAGTTAGACAGAGTTGTATTTTTGGGACATGTATATCAGGTAAGGGTATATCTGTGGATCCAATTAAAGTTGAGGCTATTAATAATTGGCCACGACCTACAAATCCTTCAGAGGTCAGAAGTTTTATGGGATTAGCTGGATATTATCGCAGATTTGTGGAAGGATTTTCCAAAATAGCTTCTTCTTTAACAAAATTAACCAGAAAGAGTACTAAGTTTGAATGGACAGATGCTTGTGAGCAAAATTTTCAAGAATTGAAGAAAAGACTAACTTCGGCCCCTATCCTTTCAATCTCATCTGGTACTGGAAATTTTGTAGTTTATAGTGATGCTTCAAAGAATGGTTTGGGATGTGCATTGACGCAAAATGGTAAAGTTATTGCATATGCCTCTAGACAACTAAAAGAGTACGAAAAGAATTACCCTACACATGACTTGGAACTCGCTGCAGCTATGTTTGCACTTAAGATATGGAGGCATTATTTGTATGGAGAGAGGTGTGAGATTTACACGGATCACAAAAGTTTGAAATATCTATTTACACAAAAGGAATTGAACATGAGACAGAGAAGATAGCTAGAATTGGTAAAAGATTATGATTGTATTATAAACTATCATCCCGGTAAGGCTAATGTCGTAGCTGATGCATTGAGTAGGAAGTCGACATCCAATGTTCCGAGTATGATTGTAACTCAAAAATCAGAATTGATAGATTTACAGAAAATGGGTATTGAAGTTGTGTCTCAAGGATTTGTAGAGGCTAAACTTGCAGTGTTGACATTTCAGCCAACTTTATAGAATAGAATTCAACAAGGACAACAGGAAGATGATTATTATTCCAAGATAAAGAATGATATACATGATGGAGAAGCTTCAGATTTTCATATATTAGCAGATGGTATCTTGCGATTTAGAGGACGATTATATGTACCTGATGCAGAAAATATTCGAGGGGACATTTTATCTGAAGCTCACACAACGCCATATTCTGTTCATCCAGGAGCTACTAAAATGTATAGAGATTTGAAATTGCATTATTGGTGGCCGAACATGAAGGGTGAGATAACCAAATATGTGGGACAATGTTTAACCTGTCAACAGATAAAAGTAGAACAACAAAGACCAGCAGGAGCCTTACAACCATTACCTATCCCAGAGTGGAAATGGGAAAGAATAACAATGGATTTTGTGGTGAAATTACCAAAAACAACTAAAGGATATGATAGTATTTGGGTTATTGTAGATAGGTTAATAAAATCAGCCCATTTCATTCCAGTTTGTTCCACTTACTCCATGGACCGATATGCTCAACTTTATGTACAAGAAATAGTCAGACTTCATGGAGTACCACTATCTATTGTCTCAGACTGGGATTCTAAGTTTTTATCTCTCTTCTGGAGAAGTTTACATAAGACTTTGGTAACGCAGTTATCTTTTAGTATAGCTTACCATCCTCAGATTGATAGGCAATCAGAAAGAACAATACAAATATTGGAAGATATGATGAGGGCCTGTGTATTAGACTTCCAAGGCCAATGGAGTAAATTTTTACCTTTGGTGGAATTCGCATACAACAACAGTTATCAGGCTACAATTGGAATGGCTCCTTATAAGGCATTATATGGTAGAAAATGTAGATCTCCAATTTATTGGGATGATGTTGGAGAAAGAAAATTTCTAGTACTAGAGATGGTTCGTGAAATCGCTGAAGTTGTGATACAAATACGTCAACGAATGCAAACTGTTCAAGACCGACAGAAAATCTATGCAGATCAAAGAAGGAGAATGTTAGAATTCATAGTTGGTGACCAAGTATTTTTGAAGATAGCACCGATGAAAGGGGTTATGCGATTTGGAAAGAAAGGAAAATTGAGCCCAAGATACATTGGTCCCTTTTCAATTATTGAGAAAATTGGAATTGATGCCTACAAGCTTGATCTTCCTTCATCAATATCTCAAGTACACAATGTGTTTCATATATCTATGCTAAGAAAGTACATTGAAAATCCTTCTCATGTATTGAGGAATGAACCAGTAGAGATAAAACCAGATTTGACATATGAAGAAAAACCTGTTGAGGTTCTTCAACGAGAAGTAAAGCAACTTAGAAGCAAGAAAATTCCATTGGTTAAGATATTGTGGCAGAATCAGTCAACAGAAGAAGCCACTTGGGAAAGAGAAGATGAAATGCAGGTTAAATATCCTGAACTTTTTGGTAAGCAAATATCGAGGACGAAATTTTTATAAGGAGGGAAGGATGTAATACCCCAAACTTCCTGTTATATATTTGGCCAATACGATTCATGCATTTCATGCTATTCACAATGTTACTTGCATTAGTTTTCTTAATTACTTTAACTTAAAATGGTGCATTCGATTATTGATATTTTAAGATTTTAGTCTTCGACTCCTAGACCTAGGTTTTGAATTTTTTATTGAGCTATGATAGAAAATTAGGTTAACTAAATGTTGCAGATTGGCTTGATAAGAAATGGAATATCGAAAAGGTCGGAAATCGGTATCGACAAAAGTTCAAGCTTTCTATTCGGTTGATCGAGACCACCTTAAACCCTAGATAGGTAATTGACATATTTGGGACATGATACATAAAGGAACATGATCATGATGCGATAATATATGTCTCATATGACATTATAAATATCGAGGTGCGATTTGATGAAATCAGTCGAGAATGGGGTGTCAATCGGGTAAGTAATTAAATGAACGACTGAGGAATTAGCTCCATAAAATATTTTGAGATCTTAGGGCAAGTAAAATGGATTGTAAACACATTAACATAAGGCCAGGATACTTGATTTATACCTGCAAAGATAAATATAAAATCAGATTTTTTTTTTTTTTTTTACTAGTGACCACCTCATGCTTGAACACCTCAAGCTTTTAATATTTATCATTTTAACACCCAATTCCTTAAAACTTACAGCATCAATCTCCTTTCCTACTCCTTAAGCACTTATTATAGGATGAATATATATCTTATAATCATAAATGGATCCAAATATAATTGATGCGAACCCCGTAGCAACGTTGACTACGAAACCAACAACAAGATTGACGAACCCAAAAAAGCCAAATTAATCCAAAGTTTAAGATTAACCCAAAAGAAAGTCGAACCAAAAAACTCAACAAGAACGACGCTTGAAAGACCCCTTGATCATGCAATCCAAGAATTAATTCCGGTTGTTTGAACGCCACAAGTTAACACTTGATAAGTTCGAAATTGTTCAATGAAGAACGATGAAGAGAAGACAATACGTCTCACTTTAATTCAATATCAATAATGTCAAAGGTTTTTAACAATTGAATGGAAACTCCTATTTATACTAAACCTAAAAACTAGGTAAAAATCATGCAAAAGTCGAGCATAATCTCCAAAATATGGAAAAGAATCAAAATCTAACAAAATATGGAAAATTGCCAAAATTGAAAAATTCGCCAATTTTTTTGGCCTGTGCGGCCGCATGGTTCAACAAAAATTTCAATTAAAGTTTCGGTATGCCACTGTGCGGCCGCATGGTGTTTTTGTTGTGCGGTCGTACAGGCTTATTTTCAGCCTCCGGTTTCGTCGCTTGATAACAAATTGATCCAAGTTGATTCGGCCTTCGACCCGAACATGAAAGTTGTTCCATTTTGAGTCCAGAACATGGTTCCATCAATGGTTTCTTGAACGAGCAATTCTATCGCCTGTTTCACTTTCTTTGCTCTTGATCACGTTATTGGTCCGCCATCGACTATCAACGGGTCTCGTCTCGCACTTGCCTTCGTCGGGCTCGACTCCTGGATCATATCATCCCCTCCCTCTTTGAAAGGATTCGTCCTCGAATCTGAACCTGCATCAAACAGAGAGAGAGCAGATACATTAAAAGTAGCTGAAACATTGTACTCACCTGGAAGGTCCAACTTGTAAGCATTGTCGTTTATCTTTTCGATCACTTGGAATGGACCATCACCCCTCGGTTGCAACTTGGACTTCCTTTGCTCCGAAAATCGTTCTTTCCTAAGGTGCACCCAAACCCAATCTCCTGACTCGAATGTCACGCACTTTCTACCTTTGTTCGCCTGCGACGCAACCAACTTACTTTTGTTTTCAATTTGCACTTACCTTTTCATGGAGTGACTTAATTAATTCCGCCTTCTTTTTGCCATCTAAACTGCCACGCTCATTCACAGGTAAAGGAATTAAATCCAAAGGAGTTAGTGGATTAAAACCATATACAATTTCAAATGGACAATATGACGTAGTAGAGTGAACAGCTCGATTGTATGCAAATTCAACAAATGGTAGACACTCCTCCCAACTCTTCAAATTTTTATTGATTACTGTACGTAACAATTGTGTCATAGT